AATGTACTTAATAATAGTATATAACAATTGTATCACATAATATATACAAAATATATGCTTATAATAAAGTCACGAGGTATGACCTCACCTTAACACCAGAAAAAAAAAAAAAAAAATTAAATTTTATTCTATTTGAATATAAAGTCCGGTTTATTTTTGCGATCTGCCCCAAATTTATACTCTAATTTATAACCGAATTCTTAACCCTAATTTTGCCAAAATTTATACTCTAATTTTGCCCAAATTTATATTCGATTTCTAGTCTGGGGAGTTATTTCAATACCAATTTTCTTCTATTGATTTGATTAAATTTTTAAAACATTTTTTAAATGAACTTGAAAGTAATAGAAAAAATTCAAAAGATAGTAGATCAAATAAATATTAAAAAATCTGAAAATTAAGAAACATCTCTAGACATTTTGTAAACAACCTAAAATATAAAAAAAAATTTATTAGCCAATCAAATTTAAAGTATCCATTATACTTATAAAAATTTTTTTATATTAGTTAATAAAAAAATTATTTACAATATATCGAAAGATAAAAAAAGGAAAAATAATAAAACTATCAAACATGACCTAATTTTCAATTACTAAAACCAACTAATTAATAATAAATTTAATGTCAAAACTAATTGGAAATTAAAAAACCATTAAACTCTTAAGAGAATGCTCACTTTTAGAATCAACAAACGCATAAGTATTTGTTAAAATAAAATATTTAATATATGTTGCAGATTCACGATAAAACCTTTTCAATGTAATCACAATAAAAAAATCCATCCGGATAATATATTATATATTCTATTTTATCAGCTTCAATAGTTTTCTCGTAACGGTCAAAAAAAGTAACATTTTGAAACTTCACAAATTTATTTTTCGAATAACTAATAATTTTTGCATACTCCACTTTGATAGAAAATTCGCTATCATACAAATATGAGTAAAATTCGACAGGAGTATCATCGATAAGTTGAAAATATACATTTTAATTTTTTTCGTTAGGAATTGTTAAATAAAAGGGTGCAATTATTTTATAATTTTGAATGATAGAAGTCTCTTGAATTTTAAAATCTTCATAATATTCTGAAACCATTTTTTTTTTTAAAAACTTTCTTTATGAATCAAATTCTTTTTATTACGCATAACTTAATCATGTGCAAAATTAAAATTTCCAATCCTCTGTATAAATCTTAAATTATATTCTTTTCTCGTATTTTTAATTAAGCCACAGCATACAAATCACTTTCATTTTAAAAGTAGTCTGACCACTTTAATTTTACAATACAATTTATACGTGACTAGCTAGTTTAACTAGTTAGTTCGTATAATAAATTTAACCAGTATAACAAAAGATTAATCTCGTGATTTAGTATGTTAGATACACAACTTTTTTAAAAAAATCTCCAGTAACTTCTTTTTAAATTTCAGTACAGTATTTGCTATGCCCTAACTTGCTCCTAATACAGTCTTAAGATAATGTATACTTATCTGTAAAATAACACATTATTTTGCTGTGAAATTTAATTTGTCAACTTTTAGGTCCCAAAGAGGATTGAAATGATAAATTAGATTCGCAGTATATAACAACATTATCTGATTACGATAAAAATATATGTAATCGTTAGTAACAAAGTTATTTGGTAGTTGAAGTAATCATTGCCAGATAAGTTTTGATCTTTTAAATTAAATATTTGCTTTTACATATAAAATTACTTAACTTTCCCTTAATAAATGATAGTTATAAGTTGCTCTATTTTGTTTTTTTTTTAAATGATATTAAAAAAGATTAACATGTAAGAGAAATTTTCAATTTTTTTTAAAACAGTTATTTAAAAAAATTATTATATAAGGGAAATTTTCAACTCACATAAATTGTGCCACGTGACTAAAGCAAAAAAATTCCCAACAATGATTTTTTTACTAAAATATTTTGTGGCAGCTTATGCTGAGATTTGAGATCTCTATTAAAATTTATAATACTTGCTAAAATCCACATATCATCTTTTATTAATAACTCTAACTCTAAATAATCCTTAACATAACTTCATTAAAATATTTCTGACTGATTTGTTTTTTTGTATAACGATAATTAAAATTTTTTTGTATTAACGTAAAACACAAAACTGACTTAATAAAAATTATCGTTATATTGATATGAAATTTTCATACATGTAATTTATTATTCCGAACAACTTTATTTATCGCATTAAAAAATAATCAGAGTAAAGAATGATAATTTTAGATTCACATCATTATTACAGAAACAATGAGATCTTAAATTGCAAGTATAAAAAGAAATAGATAGATTAGAATTATTTATAATTTTCAAGTAATCTTAGTTTCTCTATTTTTTTTGTTTGAGAAAAGCACGATATGAGAATAATACTTAATAAATTGTTTGAATTAATTCTATATTTTAATAATACATCTGAAAATTATAAATTGTGTTAAAAAAAATAGAATAAATAAAATAATGAATTCTTTTGATCAAAAAATCATGAAATAGAGTCAGTTTTTATACCAAAAGGTTACTCGCCAATTTTAGTTCGTAAAGATACTATAAAAAAATCATAGAATTTCCAGAACTAACTCTAAAGATACGTATTCCAGCATTGATCTTTAATCCAATTAAATATTAACAAATGATTTTTTATTATTTCGGAATGGAATACATTGAAATACTAATCGCTTTTTTAAATAAAATGCAATGCGAAAATTTTAAACAAGTTAAAGGTGAGGCAAGGTACGATTTGGAAGTAAGATAACTTGAACAGGGTGAGTTCTCATGTATTTGAAGTTATGTTACAGTTTTACGCTCTCTTCAATTGTTGATTTTTTGCTGGATGTAGTATGAAGTAATTTAATGATTCGATTTTCAATTAATTTTTATCAGACTTTTATAATTGTATTAAATCAAATTATGGAAATAATATCGATAAATTATTCCTTATCATTATTAATAATTAAAATATATGTCAAAGAAAATATACTTTGCAAAATTAAATATAATTCCAAGCAACTCAATACTTTCAAGCAAAAGTAAGTATAGTTCTGGATGCAAAATTTTAGGCAAAATTTAAATATAATTCTGGGCAAAATTAGGCAATAACTCTGAGCAAAATCAAAATATATTTTCAAGTATAATTCTGGGCAAAAATTAGGCATAACTTAAGGCAAAATCAGTTTCAAGCAAAATTAAGTATAATTCCGGGCAACAATTATGCATAACTCTAGGCAAAATTAAATTTTAATTTCAAGTATAAATCCAGATAAAATCAAATATTTTCAGACAAAAGTAAATATGAAACAACCTCTTTGGTTCCAGACATGATTAAAAATTAAAATTTCATTTAAACATTTAAAAAAAATATTCTCACTGGCCTATACGAAAATCATGTGATTTTTATATAGACCATACCCATGGAATAAGTTTATATAAAATTTGACTTTTACTAAAACGCACCTATGGTGATTTTCACTATAAGTGAAATCCACCTATAGTGTAAAATCACTATAGATGGATTTCATCTATGGTGAAAAATCACTATAGGTGGATTTCACCTATGGTGTAATAATCACTTATTGTTATTATTTATACAGTAATTTATATATATCGATACGTACAATATAATTTCACTTAACAGTTAATGCATTGTACATATATTTATCTAAATTCGCACGTGTATATGTTACAAGTATACGTAGTTATTATTTAAAATAATACCCTACATAAAATATTGCCTTATTCGCCAATGAAATCGCTGAATTTATGAATGGTACTCGGGAACTATATACAATACTAACGATATTACGCAGCGAATTACTAAATTAAATGTGCATACGTTATACATATTTATTTCTTACCCATCTACATATGCAGAAAGATTAGACACACAATCCACAAAAAAAAAAAGATCTTTTCTATAGCCTGCCCTAAACTTAACATGAAAAAAAACTATATCAATGCTTACCCTAATCCTAACTCTTAAAAAATGTAGCACCAGAAATCAAACATATATATATGTCTTGTTTAATATTTCTAGAACGTTTGTGTATTAATTTGAAGTGTAGCATTAAAAATTTCATTACCACATTAATTTTTTTTTATTAATTTTATTTTTTTTACAAGATACAAGCAGATATAAATAAGCAAACACAGGAGTTTCATAGGGTTATACATTTCGCCATCACTTATATTCCACTATCCCACTTACGTCCATAAATATGAACAATGAAACTTACAGTCATTGAAGCTCTGTAAGTCTTAGATAGGACTATTATAACACAGTATACAGTGCATTATGTTATAATAATCCTGCCAAACACTTACAGAGCTCTAGTAGCAAACACATAATAGTATCACAAAGCATATAATAAATTGCAATCGTTAATATACATAAATACTGGTAAACACAAACGCCAGTATACACAAAGATACATGCAAATGCTAATATACACAAATGTTAGATGAAACATGCACAAGTAAAGATATCATGTCATACGATTAGGGCAACGAGATCTACGATGACCATCTTTACCACAATTTCCACATGTATAAGCACGTTTTTTCTTGCCTAAAGATGTGTTTTTATATATTAATTGAAGTATATAAAGAATATTTAAACCACTAATATAGTACCTTGAATTGATTGCTCCATATCCTCATTAACTATATCAACTTTCGTTCCTAATATTATTAGTCTAATTTATAGTATGTTTAATAAAAAGTCAATAAATATATATGTATTTACCTTAATCTTGACCTTGAACGTCTTGAATGTGTTCATGCATCATTTGGTCTTGTTCTTCAGTACCTTCAGTACTGTCAACATTAATTGATTCATTACTAATGTTGGAACTAGCCATCCTCACTAAATCATCATTCTGCAACACATTAGTTGTTTCCTTCAACACTTTTTTTCATGCGCCATCATTGAATGCTGCTATACGTTTTTGATGCTTCCGTCCCTTTGTTCGTGGTTTTAGTGGATTATTGATTGTTTCATAATTATACTCATCATCCAACTGCAAAACGCATCCTTCCTGCTCTGCTAGTTGTTTTTCATCTCATTGATGAACTGCTAATGTAATTCATAAAGCTCTTTAGTACGTCCAGTTTGGATTGCTAAATTCAAGGTTCTTTTCATAAGACCAAAACCTTTCACATAGAGAGCACGACTTCTTATATGATGTTATATCTTGGGTGTAAAAACGCATTGGCCACAAATCAAATCGATTAAAGAAAAGTCAACTTGGTCATCATTCTCAAATACACCAAATTTTCCCCCACTTCGAATTAAAATTGCACGTTTATTACTATAATCATCATTTTTAGCATGGCTCGATCGTTAAACCAACGTTTTGCTAGAATTCCAATATGAAATTGTGCTATTTCGCTTTTCAATAAAATGGCAAAAAAATAACGACATATAATGCCACGATTCACGAGTGTTAAACATGTACACAAGTGACTTGCATTTCCAAAGAGAACAACAAAATGGCGCTTTTGTTGGTCAATACGTGATACTATTCAAAGCTCTTTGATATCACCAATACCATCAACAAGTTCTGTTAATTCAATGAGCATTTCATCATACAAATCTTTGCTAAACATGCCTTTAGGTGTATCCTAAATAAAATAAAAAATATTAAATAACTCAACTAACACACTAATGGGTCAAACTACAAGTTAAAAATTTGATAAAATTAACAAATAGGTCAAACCCATTTGTTAATTTTATCAAATTTCTAACTTGTAGTTTGACCCATTAAAAGACAATTTAAAGACAACAACCAAGCTCATGACTACTTTTAATATACCAGTTTATCAATATTTTCAACATGAGCTTGTTGTTGTAACTCAAACTCCAAATCTGTACGATAAGCTCGATAGTGGGGGCATTGATCCATTTGATTCCGCTGCAACTTTTGTATTGCCGGTGTAAGAAATTTAGTGCAAGCCTCATCAATCGCCATAAAATAGTGATCTCGGTACGTTGCATGCATAACATGTGGTAGCTCTCCATTGATCTTATTGAATCTCACAAACTGTGACTCCCTCATTAAATGCTGTTCGATTATGCTTACTACTTCCATTAATGAGGTTGTTCCATTAAGTGATTTCTTCAAAATCGCGTTGTACACTTCAACTCTTTGAGTTGATTGAATACCACAATTAAAAGACCAATGTGTGAAAGCAAGAACCCATGCTTCACGATGAGGATAAAGCTGACGCCTTAGATAAGATTGTGCCTCAGGAAATAAATCCAAGACCTGTTGCCATAAACAGTTTCAGTGGTGCTATTGCGTGCCTGACAAAAACTTGAAAAGAAATCTCTAAACTTTTCTCTACCAAACTTAGAGAGAAAATATTTTTCAAGATTTTTCTGTATGTGAAACAAACAGAAATGGTGCTTTGTGCCATGCCATACGTTTTCAATTGCACCAGTAATTGCTGGATCTGCATCCGTATAAACAACTTTAGGTTTTAACCCTCCTTTATAAAAAAAAAAAAAAAATTAACTAGTATATACTACAAATTAACTACAACAAACATACTAAATAAAACAATAAAAAGTCAACAACCTGTTGCATTAAGTAGCCCTTGTAAAATCCATTCAAATGTTATTTTTTGCTCATCCATAATTAAGGCTGTAGCAACAAGTCGCGATCTATTGTGGTTATCTATACAAACCACCACACACATGATCATATTGAATCTATTTGTTTTACAGATCGTGTCAAGTAAAATGACATCATGAAAACAACACCAAATATCGATTTGTTTGGGGTGCAACCACAAAAGCCCTACAAGATGATTATCGCTTCCCTCGAATTTTGCATCAACGTACCAACTGGGCATCTCCTGTTTCGATGCATTAGCTCTTTATAGGTAGCACCTGCATCACTTAATTTTCCCTTCTCTGCTTTTACCACTTGAATAATATTGTAGACACTACGTGCATGGATATATTGATCTGGATATTTGTGTGTCAACACATTAATAATGGCCCCTGTACGTACACCACTAGCAGCAAGAAGTTCGATATCATCACGCATTTCAGATGTAAGGCGACAATATTGAGGTGCAGCCATTTGGATATTATCGCTCATTGGATGTGAATGCTCGCCAATTATACCCAAAATATGTACTTGATTATCACTTTTCCATCTTTGAAAATTAAGATGATATTTACAACTACTATTCTCATGTGCTTTATTTCTTTTCTCTAACGTATGTACCTTTTTTTTGCTTCGTAACGACGCCCTTTGGAACAATAGTAAACCCGATGTCTAGGTATTCTGTCATTCTTGTCTAATTCACTTTTTACTAAAGAAAAAGCAAAACCTCATTCACAACCATGTTTGTCAAGCCAACTTTCATTAATTAATACCTGTACTATACATGGATAAAAAAAAACAAAATTAAAATAAAATATTCAACTTACTTTTCAACATCTTTCCAATCAGTAAAACTTTGCCCTTTAGTTAAGGGATATAATCCCTCCTCCGAATTAGTCAAATCAGTTTCAGCCTCAGATTCTACTAAGCTATTACTTTCCTCAGATCGAAGTTGCCCATAAGAATCCAGAATTTCATCAAATATATTTGTCTTAACATTGCTAATAAAACACAGATCAGCTTCGTTAAATTCGTCACTTGCCATTTCAAAAGCTATATAGTGCTGTGTAAATAATTAAGTATATAAGTAATGCGGTTAGACGGTTATGTGCAATAAGATAATTTAAAGTTAAGTTAAAATCTAATGAGTTGTACATGTATAGATATAAAGTAAAAGTTGTACACGTCATACATGTTACGCGTCAGTTTCAATCATTTATATATAGTTACACCAATAGGTGAAAATCACCATAAGTGCATTTTATAATAATTGTACAATATTATCAATGTTATAATATGATAAACATATGTTAAACATATGTTAAAAATATTATTATCATATTTTAAAAATATTATTTTTGTTCTACTATCTTACTTTTAAT